GAAGACACCTTGGGCTAACCAACCATATCATTTTTTTCTATATAATAATGGATAAAAAATGTGTTATGAGTTGGGAAAATTTGTTCTATACATTTTTGCTGGAGTGATCCGAATTACCCCATTTGAGGTAATTCGGATCAGCACTTGTAGTCTTTTGCCATTTTAACTAGCATTAGAAAGAGGACAGTTTGTTCTAGTTGCACTGCAAAAATCACCTTGTTACGACGTACAATGATTGAGAGCGAATAAAAACAAAATCTATTTTCTAATTTTTGATCCGAATTACCCCTAACGAGTGTATATTAACAATGAGCTCCCGTTTAGAAAACGAGGCAGCAGTTGTAATCAGGATGGAAAATAATGAAAAATCGAGAAACAACAGTAATCCAATTTCTCTCACGATTTAATATTGATTTCAACTAGATGTAACATTTTGAGATCATTACCGGGCGAGAAAGTTTGCTTATGGTCTGTAATCCTTTGATTGACCGTCATAAAATAATGAAACAAACCTCATTGACTGGTTAGATATCGGTCTAATGTGTGATTTGATTGGTGTGAAATGAAAAATAATTTATTTTTGTCTAAAATTCAGCAATATCGAGAATGCATTGTTTGTGCTCGACTTACTGACTCTTACGACGATGAGTCAGCTGTCCCCCTTATTGATTGGAATGACCAGGAGTCTTCAGAACTCATCTCTCTAATGATTCTATGATGTTTCTATTGATGTGACGGCATCACAGTCGAGAAAGACAATGATATTCATAGTGATTCCAGAGTCAGTGGAATCATGTAGAATCAATAGAATCACAGAGAATCAATAGAATCATATGAAATCACGGAATCACGGAATCAGCTTTTTCCCCCTTGGGGTTAATGCGTTGGCCAAATTTACGAGTAACAATTTTATAAAGAACATTATGATCATCAATAACATAATTAGCAGGTAATGGGCGTGTATTTTTGATTGCTTGTATATGAGAATCTTGATTTTGATGTTGATTTAATGTATCATAGTCGTAGAATATGGAGACAGCTTTTACAGATGAAGTTGATGATGCTGTTTTTGTTGCTGTTGTTCATGGTGTAATAGATATAGGTGGTGTTATTGTTTGTTGAACTTGATGATCAGAAGAAGAGGTGTTTTTTTTCATTGAACGTGTGATAACGACGTTGATCAGAACATGTTCAATTTGAATTGAAGAGTTCACAAGACTTGGTGCATCATAATAGTTATTATCAGGTAGATCAACTGGATAACGAGACAGAGCATCGGCAGTAGTATTGTCTTTTCCGGAAATATGTTGAACAATCATATCATATTCTTGTAATGTTGCCATCCAACGTTCAATACGAGTATTATGATATGGCTTTTTCATAATCGAGAGTAACGGTTTGTGATCAATTTCCAGAGTAAATTGTTGTCCTTCAATATAAGTGCGAAATTTCTGAGTCACACTCCACCGTATGGCTAATGTTTCTAGTTCAATAGTGGAATAATGCTTCTCAGCAGGTTTTAAACTTCGCGAGGCGAATGCAACTGGCTTATAAATAGAAACAGTTGATATATCTTCAGCATCAACAGTTTGCTTCTGCAAAAGGACTGCGCCGATACCTACCCGTGATGCATCAGTTCGAATTGTATATGGTTGAGAAGGATCAGGTAATACAAGTACTGTAGGAGATGTAATTGCATCTTTTAGTTGGTTAAAAGATTCTTGTTCTATTTCTGTCCAGATAAAGGGAAAACCTTTTCGAGTAAATTTGTTGAGTGAAGCTGATATTTGAGCGAAGCGAGGGATAAATTTTCTATAAAAACCAATCATTTATAAAAAAGAATGGGCAGCTTTACTTGATTTAGGTACTGGAAATTGTAAAATAGCACGAATATTATCATCGTTAGGAGAACAACCAACTGCACTAATCTTATGTCCCAAGAACGAAATCTCAGGTTGGACAAATGAACACTTTTCGTAATTTAATTTAAAATTTGACGTATGTAATGCTTGACAAACTTTATCAACATCTAGAAGGTGTTGATTAAAAGAACGGGAATAAACAACAATAT